GGAGGCTACTTAAAAAGCTGGACATCGATCTACCATTTGATCCAGCAATACCACTCTTGGGGATATACCCAAAAGACTGTTACTCCAGAGGCACCTGCACATCCATGTTTATTGCGGCACTATTCACAATAGCCAAGTTATGGAAACAGCCAAGATGCCCCAGCACTGACGAATGGATTAAGAAAATGTGGTATCTATACACAATGGAATTTTATGCAGCCATGAAGAAGAACGAAATGTTATCATTCGCTGGTAAATGGATGGAATTGGAGAACATCATTCTGAGTGAGGTTAGCCTGGCCCAAAAGACCAAAAATCGTATGTTCTCCCTCATATGTGGACATTAGATCAAGGGCAAACACAACAAGGGGATTGGACTATGAGCACATGATAAAAGCGAGAGCACACAAGGGAGGGGTGAGGATAGGTAAGACACCTAAAAAACTAGCTAGCATTTGTTGCCCTTAATGCAGAGAAACTAAAGCAGATACCTTAAAGCAACTGAGGCCAATAGGAAAAGGGGACCAGGAACTAGAGAAAAGGTTAGATCAAAAAGAATTAACCTAGAAGGTAACACCCACGCACAGGAAATCAATGTGAGTCAATGCCCTGTATAGCTATCCTTATCTCAACCAGCAAAACCCTTGTTCCTTCCTATTATTGCTTATACTCTCTCTACAACAAAATTAGAGATAAGGGCAAAATAGTTTCTGCTGGGTATTGAGGGGGGAGCGGGAGGGGGTGGAGTGGGTGGTAAGGGAGGGGGTGGGGGCAGGGGGAGAAATGAACCAAGCCTTGTATGCACATATGAATAATAAAAGAAAAATGAAAAAAAAAAAAAAAAAAAAGAAAAAGTGTGTTCTTGGGCTACTACTCAAGATGAATGCCCTAACTTTTGTTTTTTTTTATTCATATGTGCATACAATGTTTGGGTCATTTTTCCTCCCCCCCCACCCCTCCTTACCACCCACTCCACCTGCTCCCTCTCCCCCCACCCCTCAACCCAGCAGAAACTATTTTGCCCTTATCTTTAATTTTGTTGAAGAGAGAGTATAAGCAATAATAGGAAGGAACAAGGTTTTTGCTGTTGAGATAAGGATAGCTATACAGGGAGTTGACTCACATTGATTTCCTGTGCGTGGGTGTTACCTTCTAGGTTAATTCTTTTGATCTAACCTTTTCTCTAGTTCCTGGTCCCCTTTTCCTATTGGCCTCAGTTGCTTTAAGGTATCTGCTTTAGTTTCTCTGCATTAGGGCAACAAATGCTAGCTAGTTTTTTAGGTGTCTTACCTATCCTCACTCCCTTGTGTGCTCTCGCTTTTATCATGTGCTCAAAGTCCAATCCCCTTGTTGTGTTTGCCCTTGATCTAATGTCCACATATGAGGGAGAACATACGATTTTTGGTCTTTTGGGCCAGGCTAACCTCACTCAGAATGATGTTCTCCAATTCCATCCATTTACCAGCGAATGATAACATTTCGTTCTTCTTCATGGCTGCATAAAATTCCATTGTGTATAGATACCACATTTTCTTGATCCATTCATCAGTGGTGGGGCATCTTGGCTGTTTCCATAACTTGGCTATTGTGAATAGTGCCGCAATAAACATGGGTGTGCAGGTGCCTCTGGAGTAACCTGTGTCACAGTCTTTTGGGTATATCCCCAAGAGTGGTATTGCTGGATCAAATGGTAGATCAATGTTTAGCTTTTTAAGTAGCCTCCAAATTTTTTTCCAGAGTGGTTGTACTAGTTTACATTCCCACCAACAGTGTAAGAGGGTTCCTTTTTCCCCCTCCATCCTCGCCAGCACCTGTTGTTGGTGTGTTGCTAATGATGAATGCCCTAACTTTTAGTGGATGAGTTAAACTTGCTTCTGGTACTGAGATCACATCTTCCTCTCCTGATTGGCTTGGCAAGGAGCATCGGTTTGATGTGATAATCTGGATTGGAGACTATCACTATGGTTCGTAGTTATTAGGTTTTGTGAAATGGTATTATCTGAGATGAGAAGGTATCGAATAAATCACTTTATTGTTTTGGGTGGTGAAGTATACATAGCATAAAATTTACCATTAGACTTTTAAAGTGTAAATTCAGTGACATGAACTATAAATCACTCTTAGTATGTGGTAGGTGCTAAAGAAATGTTGTTGGGGGATTAGAGTGAAGTAAATATAAGTCATCCCAAACTAGCAACTGAATCCTCCATTGCTGTAGGCAAGATTAGAATATGCTGGCCCCATGACCTTGAAGTAGAATGTGGTATATAAAGTAGCATGAAGAGTTTTGATTTTTTTTTTTTCTTTGTGGTACTGAGGAGGAACCCAGGGTCTTGCACAAGTTAAGTAGGCATGTGCTGTTCCCCTGAGCCAACTCCCAGCCCTGAGTTTTTAAATTCTGAAGTGTAGATTTCTGGTGCAGGAACTTGGGGGTACAGAAGAAGTCTTGGTTTGAACATAGAGGGCCACTTTTGGTTCTGAATTCGCAGCAGATTGCCATGGTGTCCTTAGCATGTCATTAATGTTTTAGGGAATCAGTTTATTCACCAATAAATGCCTTTTTCAACTGTGTGTTGTTGAAGATCTAACAAGATTACCGTCCATGGAACCTATAAGGCCTTCTCTCAGTAGCACTAATTGGCCATGTTATCTTTGTGACAGAGGCATGATTGCAGGTTTTATGGGCTAGGGTGAGGATTGAATGATAATATAGTCACAAACATTTGTACAATATTCCTGTGTTCTGCAAATGTGTACATGTGTACATTTTCTAATCAAAAAAGTCTAGAAAAATTGAGACTTGATGACACAAGAGTCTCAAGTTGAAGGACCTTGAGAATACTGTGAATTCTAAAATAAAAAACAGATTCTTCTGAAATAACTGATGTAGACATAAAACATCTCTGTAAAGTTAGCCAAATAAAACTCTGGACTCTGTGTGTGTATGTACTCCTTAGAGCTTAAAACAGAAACACAAATTGCTTTGGGGTTAGAAGACTGTGCCAAGTCTCAGCCCAGAACAACTATTTACAGCAGCCATAATCCCTTAGCCAGGAGTTGGTAATGGAAATGTGACCAACCCTTTAGCAATGCAGTAGTGAGGAGGACTAGCAGGCATTGCAATAATAATTGGAGACAATACGAATGAATAAATAATGAACTAAATAAAATATTTAAAGGTACTCCAAGATAAAAACCTCGAAAGTGACTTTCTAATTTGTTAGGTAGAGTTCTACGTCCATTGTTTCTGCTTGCTGTTTTTAATATAGGTTACTACCCAGTCAGTTGACTCTAGAACTTTCTGTGCAGTGTCATCAGTTGGCACTGTGGATAGGTGACCAGTGATCAGACCTCCTGGCCCCTTCTCGTGTAAAGGTTGACTTGCAGTTCTTCCAAGCAAAACCCTTTTGTCTGCTGCTAAACTTGCTTTCCCCAGTACCTCTTTATAGTCACAAAGACTTGGGACATGGTATTTACTTTTCTAGTAGGGCCAGCTCCCCGAGTGCACCAGCCTCACTTTACCAATGTGGTAATTTATTTTGTAAATAATTAAGAGGCAGGGGGCTGGGTGCCAGTGGCTCACTCCTATAATCCTAGCTACTCAGGAGGGCAGAGATCAAGAGGATTGCAGTTTGAAACCAGCCGGGCAAATAGTTCTGCAAGACCCTATCTCAAAAAACCCTTCTCAAAAATAGGGCTGGTGGAGTGGCTCCAGGTGAAGGCCCTGAGTTCAAGCCCTAGTACCACAAAAAAAAAAAAAAAAAGAGGCAGGGGGTTGTGTCTGGCCCAAAGGCTAAGTGGGCTATGTTATGGCTTGAGAGTAGTTCCCAGAATGACTTGATTTGAGGCTCCGCCTGCTGCTAATGGGATGCTTCCAGCAGCCTGGTGTCCTCGGATTCTCTGGAGTACCAACAGATCTGTGGAAAGGCAACTCCCAGTAAAGTCAGTCATGCCAGTTATATGAACATTAGCTCTATACCCATCGGAGTTAATGCCAGACTAGAAATAATATTGAAACTGATAATGCTGTTAATCCCTCCAGGAAGACAGGAGTCAGATGTGAAAAGACCAATGTTGACTGGATTGTCTTCATTCCTTAGCTTTTTCTGAGTAGCAAACAGGCTAGCTTTTAGTGATATGCAAACAGAACTGAGAGAACTCTTTGAGCTAAAGTGATAAATATGGAAAATCATAGTCGGTTTAATATTTTTAAATCATATATTATGCACCAAAATAGTAGGAAATTTGGATAATTTTTGGTGATAAGGATTAATCATTAGTAATGAATAGTTTTGTGTGTGTTTTTTTAACACATGTAATACTTGCATGCCATAAACTGTAGACAGTTGATAGCTGCATCAGCAAAGCTGACAAGAATGGAAACTGATGCAAGTTATGCATATTTATTATCTGTATAAGTGATTTTTCTAAGATGGTATAAAGTGTGTAAGAGGTGAGAGAACATTTGAACAGAGGTTAAATTTGGACAGCCAAGTGTCCTAGGTTTGGTAACCTACACATTGTAAGGTAAGCAATTTTTTAAAAGCCTTTAATTTAATGTTAACATCTATAGTGATATTCTTATTAATGTTGTGAAATGAAAATGCAAAAGAAATGGTCTTAAAATGCTGTGAGTGATGTTTAGTACATGTAAGGAGAGATGAGTGTAAATAAGTAGGTGAGAGCACAACACTTGAGTGTCAAAGGGGAGACCACAGAGGTGTAGAAAAGGAGGAAGGCTGCTCAGCCCAGAAGAGTGGTACTCCACACATGTTTATACTTTATTCATTCAAATTCAGTAAAGATTCACCCTTAATTTTTTGAGGATCCCTAACATTTTTAGTTGATACTAAAATCACATGATTGCATTTAGCCCCTTTGGCTATGGGGACAATAAAATGATACTGTATTTTCAATTTGGTAAATTGGTGTATACAAGAAGATGTTTTTACTTTTTCATTTGGGCCTCCTCAGTGCTGCCTTATCCCTGCTTTTCCTAGGTCAATGGCATACAGCTTTATGGGAAATCTCGCCGAGAAGCCGTCTCCTTTCTTAAAGAAGTGCCAACCCCTTTCACCATGGTTTGCTGTCGACGGCTGTTTGATGATGAGGCCTCTGTGGATGAACCAAGGATCACTGAGACCCCTGTTCCCGAGCTGGAGGTAAAAATGAGATGTGCTATAGTCCCTAAGCATGCCTTTTCACCAGGGGTGCCCCGAAGGGAGTGGTACTACCCTCCACTCTTTTTTTGTTTGACGAAGAGAACGATGCGTACCTTTGCACATTTTTACTTTTCATTTAGCACCCTAAAACTTTTTTTTTTTTCTCTTGAAATGTTGGTAACATTGATGGGCATGCATTTTCATTTTAGAGAACTTTTTCTTTTTTAAATTAATTGCCTGGCTCATGGCTTTTGCCTTTTAGTTCAACTCAGGTCACCTTATGATGTTACAGTGTTGAATATCTAAAGGAAAGACTCTTTCATTTTCAGAGTCTTAAAATAGGAAGATCTATGATCAGATTCAAAGTGAGTCTAGAAGTTGCCATAAAGCAGAATGTTGCAGAATAAAGTAACACTTTCTCTGCTGTTGGAGCTCTTCTCCTAAGAGCATTAGAGTTATGGTAAGAGTTCTGAGCACATGCTTAGCTGTCATGTGCCCTCTACGCCCTCCTCTTTCAGGCCACTTTGTCTTCTTTCTAGACTATTCTAGGTTATAAGTCCATTCACACCAGCTTAGATATGTGAGCCTTCCCTTTTACCTACTTAACATTTGCATTTCAAGTTGCATGGACCTTAATCCTGCCTCTACCCCTTCATATTTTTGATTATTTGGACAAACGACCTTGCTTTCTGTTCATCATCTTCTGAAAAATGGTGCTGCTTATAGAATTTATGCATCTTATGAGTTTATAGGAAAGGAATGCTTGTGAAATTCTTAGCATTATGCCTCACACATGGGAAATGTTTTATAAAACCTAGCGATGGCTGTTCTTGACTAGTTTCTTCCACACATCTTTGATTTCTTTTTTAATTTTCTTTTGGCAGTACTGAGATTTGAACTCAGGGCCTTGCACTTGCCAAGCAGGTGCTGTACTACTTGAGCCACACCCCCCACCCTTTTTTGCTTTTGTAGTTTTTTGAATAGGATCTCCCTTTTATGCCCATGCCAGCCTGGACTCCAATCCTCCTCTTTATGCTTCCCTTGTGGCTGGGGTGGCAGGCATGTACACCACCACACCCAGCTTTTTATTGGTTGAGATGGGGTCTTGAGGACTTTTTGCCCATGCTGGCACCTGATCTGCACTTCCCAAATAGCGGGGATTACAGGTATGAGCTACTGTGCCTAGCTCCAATCTTGACTTCTGATTTCCTAAATTACTTGAGTCTAATACTGTTTTATATCACAGATCCTTTAGTGTGTATTAACTTGGTTTTCCAAGAAGACTGTCAGTTCTTTGTGAGTAGAAGCCACCCCTTTAAGTTACTTTGTATCACATTATTGCCATCTGTATTGGGCATAGAAGAGGGACTTAGTGCCACACACCTGTAATCCCACAATTTGGGAGATGGGGGAAGAATTATGAGTTTGAGGCCAGCCTGGGCTATAGTGAATTCCAGGCGAGCCTTGGATTTTAGTTATTTATTTAGGTGGTTATAGGGTTTGAACTGAGGGCTTCAGACTTGCTAAGCAGGTGTTCTGCCACTTGAGCCACACCCCCAGCCCTGTTGCTTTAGATATTTTTTCAGGCAGTGTGTTGAGGTTTTGCAGTCTTGGCCCATGCTCCTCCTATTTAAGCTTCTCGTTAGATGGGGTAACAGGTGCTTGTAACCATGCCCAGCTCCTTTGTTGAGATGGGATCTTACTAACTTTTTGACTGAACTGGCCTGGAATCTCGATCTTCCTGATCTTTACCTCCTGAGTAGTTGAGGTCACATGTGGCACTTCGCCCAGCCCTAAATTTTTGATTATTGGTTGACATCTTTTAAAAAAATGTATATCTTTTGTAAAAAAAAAAAATTTCAAGGAGAGGACTCTTTTGTTACATTTGCTATCCTTCCTAAGGTGAAGTGTGGATGGTGGCTTCCCTCTGAAGGTTGATAAAAATGCCTTTAATCTAATCCGTTAGGGTGTATAAATCATCAGCCCAGCTTGCTGACCCTGTGTTCCTATTCGTCATGTTTTACCACAATGGCTGAGGAGCAGCTTGAATTATGCCGAACGTCCACCTTGCTGCCCATTAGTTGATTGCCTTCCATTCTGTAAATATGAGAGTCATGCCGAATTGATTATATCAGAGTGATAGATTTCGTTTTGGAGCACAATATCTTATACACCTGGGATGACTTAAAACTTGTGTTTTATAATTGTATGTGGTTTCTTGAAATCTTGGCTTTCTTTTCCTTCTCTTTTTTTCATTTAACCTGATATCCATTTATGTTGTAAACTCTTACCTAGTTAGGTGGCTAGGCCAAAATTCCAATACTCGTTAATCAGCGAGGATATTAAATGCCCCAGAAAACATCAGTCGTGTTGTATTGGCCGTCAGTACATTTATAGGTTACATTTTCATTGGAAAATGTAAGTGTTTTCTTTCCAGGTACATAACTTCCTCAGGCTGGGGCACACAGAGGTTATTGATCCATAACATTCCCACTAAGTTTAGGTCTTATGATTTGAGAACTAAGAAATTGTTCCTGGGTTTAAATTCAATACACCATGGCTTAGGTATTGACCTTCCATGATCTGCAGCAACAATTTGAAGGTTTTTGTACTAGCCATGGTGCTTTTCCAAATTATAGACCCCTTTTGATTCCATTAAATGGATTTTCTTAGCCAGGTCACTCAAAATGTTTGTAGAAATGATGCATTTTTCATTCTGTTTACTGAGATCATCCAAGGTCATAAGAAAGTTGCTTTTAGAAGTGGGAGGATGAGGACTACAAGGAGAAATAATTTTAAAAATTATTTATTCTGTAGCTTTATTAAGAATGCATTTTGTGAGAAACACACTCAAAAGTACATGGTACATTAATGCACTGGACAAATATTTGCCAAGTGTCTACATGAGGCAGGGGGTAGGGGCTTGAGTGGATCATCAAGGGAAGTGCAGCAGCCTCAGAGTTCCCATTCTAGCCTGCAGCACTCTATAGAAGCCCAGAGTATTTGGGGGAAGGTAAGTCAGAGGAAAATAATACAGTGCTATAAGTAGTATAAAAACAGAAGCGTTTTTTCATTTTAATGCTTTTTTTAAACTCTTTAATATAGCACAGTGCGTTTCCCATTGGTTTTGTATTTATTTTTTAAGCTGTATGAGTTCCTTTCTTTTTTTCTTTATATTTCTTTTTTTTCCTTTTTTAGAAGTTATATTCTCATTGTACTGGGTACTGTGTGACATTTATAAAAGTTCTTATAATATATCATAATTGAATTCACCCTCTCTGTCATTGTCCTTTATTCCCCCTCTTCCCCATTCCTGGAATAGTTTCAGCATGTCTCACTTTTCCATTTTCATGCATGAGTACATAACATTTTCACTACACTCAGCCTTCCTCACCCTTTCCTTAGATTTCCGCATAGGACCTGATTTGGAAGGTTTTGAAGGAGCCACTGCCCTTCTACCTAGTGGACCTATTGACTGTCGCCTCTAGGTTCTTGGAATCCCACATGGCAGTGTTGTTTCTCCCTGAAAAGACAAGGCATCTAGACTAGAGGGACTGGGGATGTGAAGTTAGAAAACAAAATGAAGGACTTGTGTAATAGGCAGTTGTGCTGAGCATTTTCCTCTAAGAAAGGATTTTCATTATTTCAAATCAGTAATTTTTACTTAGTTATAGAATTACATAATGCCCAAGGACTTGGATTTTTGTTTTCACGTAAATTTTTTCTTGAAAATCTCTAGGAGTCAGCAGAAGTTTTCTTCTGTCTTGCTCTGACTTGTCTCTGTGTTGGCCTCTTTCTCTCTGTGTATTACTCTAATTATGAATCCAGATGTTGCTTTTTAAACATCTTATTTGCTACTACTTTGTGTGCTATTTCACTTTTACTTAAATTGCATATTTTTCCTTTTATGCTTCAAATGGGATGACAGAACTCATTGAAGTATAAGAGGTTAGTGTTATACTTTCAATGAAACATGTACTTAACGTTTTTAAAAAAGGAACTGTATGAGCATCTGTATTTTTAAATGCTTGATTTTTATATGGATCTTTTCCTGGATTGTGTGTATTCCAGTGCATGGCCTCTTTAAAAAAGATCAAAAAGAAGAATTACGCATGCCGAAGAGAATTCCCAGTTTGAAAAGAAGCCGTGAGATTTCTGATATGTTCATTCTTTTCAGAATAGAAAGAATGGTGTTTTGAAGCATTTGTCTTTGGTGTTTCAGGTTTACCACAGTATAGATGTTAATACTGAAGACGATGATGGAGAGTTAGCCCTGTGGTCTCCTGAAGTCAAGATTGTTGAGCTTATAAAGGACCATAAAGGCTTGGGATTCAGCATTTTGGATTACCAGGTATAAGAACCCATTTGAAGGGTTTTTGTTTTGTTTTGCTTATGTTTCTTGTTTTGTTTTTTGGAGTAATTGCTTTATGTTAAGGTTTTGTGAAATGGTAATTGTTTAAAGCATCCATTGATTTAAGCAAAGCTGAATGCCAAACATGTGATGTTGTACTTCTTATTGTTACCTTTAAAATTAGTAGCTTGTTTAGTACATGTAATCATGGATGATATAATACTGGACAATAAGGGAGGTATTACTTTTATACACATGGATGAAAACTTGAGGAACTTTTTAGTTTTTATTTTTAAAAAATTTATAACTTAATTATTTGATGAGCTTTTAAAAATGAGTCTCCACTAGCTTCATTGAGCTATATTTCATGTACTACAAAATTCATTGATTTAAAGCATTCAGGTCACTTGTTTTTAGTATAGTCACAAGTTGTGCATCATTATCAATTTTAGAGTGTGCTCCACACTCCAAAAAGAGACCCTGTACACATTAGCAATCAGTTCCATTCTCACTTTCCCTTCTTCCCTTTGATATAAGACTTTTATAGTTTTGTTTACCAATTAATCTCAGTGAATTTAAATAAGTGGAAATGCTCTTGGTGAAATTATATGTTTACATTGATACATAACATTTTGGTTGTTGTTGATTTGAGACAGGATCTTGCTACATAGCCCTTGCTGGCCTACAATTCCACGTGTAACCCGGCCTGGCTTTGAACTTGAAATCCTCCCACTGGGATTATACATGAGTGCCACTTTGCCTGGCCATCTGTGTACTTAAATATTTATAGCAACTCCAACTCTAGCTATGCTAAAGTTATTTATACATTGGGAGGGGGTGCAAAATGTCACCATAGGACATGTATACATTATTTGCATATCTATACAATTTGTCTTTTATCCTTGATTATGTGGGAGAATTAAAACTGTTAGTTTACTGTTAAGATGCATATTTTAAACTTTACTGCTACCTGAATACGCTGTGGTTTGGTAAAGCAGAATATACTCTATCAAAGTACATAAACTGCAAAATGATACAAAATTGATTTTTTAACATAATAAGGCAATCGGGAGCAGATTATAAGAAAGTATTTTTACTTTTGTTGGTATATTCTGTGCCAGATAACCCTTTTGTGTCAGAGTTTCTTTTTGGAATATTATTGAACTGTGAGCATTGATATCAATTGAAGATTTTGGGAAATATTTTCATCAAGAAACATCAATACTTTTAGATTCTGGAGTGTTGTGTATTGGCTAATACTGGGGTCACATAAAGCAAATGGCAAGGACTACCTCCTTTGCTCCTCTTCTCCCTGTTTCCTAGCACATAGATCAGTAAATACCGCAGAATGACTGAATAAAGTCAAGTTGAGTCTAGCTAAAATTAACTGGGATTGTCTGAATTCAATGAGAATTTGTTAACCATTTTCATAATTGGGACTTAAGTTAAAAAACACCTTTAAGATGTAGTCTAGATGTTCAGCTATTTTCCATTATTATATGGATTGGTGTATACTTGCATTCTTATGTAATAAATATTTATACCTTTTGGTTATCTACTCCAGGCCTCACACCTACTACGCAGACTCTACTGCTTGAGCCACTCCACCAGCCCAGTGGTTACCTTCTTAAATGACATTATTTACAGCATTTATTTATTTACCAATATGGGGGATCTAACCCAGGCCCTTGCACATCTGGAAAAACAGTTCACTCACTATATCCCCAAATCTAAGTTTTATATTTTGAGAATTGCACATGTTAAAGGAAAGGAGTATTTTTGAACTTAAAAAAAAGAATTTTCAATAAGGGATAGAAAGAAAAACTTGATAGTCTTTATCTTTATTTTAATTTCTAGTTGGCAGAAACATCCCTTAATCAGTTTTGAGCTTTACACTTAAAAAAAAATAGTTTTAATCGGGGATTATTTTTCCTTCACTGCATGAGTATGCATTCTAATTTCTATTGCTTTTTGAAATTTTACTTTTATTTCTAAAATCTAGAGTTGAGTTTTTCTTATCTTCCTCATAGTCATCAGCACACATACAAACTCATTTCTGCAAAATTGTATAAACTACTTTTGGGGCAAAAAGTGTTAGATATTCTTTTTGCCTTTGTGTGTTTCTCAAAGAACTGATAGAAAAAAATACTCAATTTCCTAACTGGTGTGTAGGCTCACATGAGAAGGCTCAGTTTAATTACATCTGTATCTAAACCTTGAAAGGAAAAAAGATTCATTACTGAATATTTTTCTTAAGTCAAATCTCAAGTCACAGTTGTGTACAGCACATTTTCACCATTTGTCAGTGGTATGTGAAATTGTTTACTTACTATGACATTTAAATGACAGTTGAGCACAATTTAAAATTTGGTTTGAGGTAAGTTAATTAATTGACTATACTGTCCCTTGTTATAATTAGGTAATAAATTCTAAAGTTGAAAAATATTTTTTGCAAGCCAGGCAAAGGTTTAGCAAAAGCCATGAAAGGCCATGTTCCTTGCTGTTTCAGTATTCAGTGTGTCCTGTATGAATTTATTAGGGTACCGAATAGGGCCAAGGCAGATTCCTGTCCTGCTGGACTGAGCGTTATTTAGAATAAGAAGTACTGTAGAAGAGAGCTTGCCTCACATGCACAAGGCCCTGCGTTTGATTCCCAGCACTGCAAGAAGAAAAGAAAAAGAAAATCTTGTCAATGATGTCTGCATTCTAATAACTTCACATAAAAGCAAAATAAGTTAACCTTTAAAAAAAAAGGTACTAGAGTGCTACAGAGACATTTTAACCTCTGGGGAAAGTAGAGTAAGAGAGCTTCGGAGGTATAAAGGACCTGCAGTCTTGAAGATCCTGGACTTTGCTTTGGAATGTTAACATCAATTAACCACTTCTCTAACTAACAGATTTTTTTTTTAATTTTTTTTTTTTTTGAGATACTGGTGCTTGAACTCAGGGCCCTCACCTTGAGCCACTCCACTAGCCCTATTTTTCTAAAGGGTATTTTTGAGATAGTGTCTTGTAAACTATTTGCCTGGGCTGGCTTCAAACTGCAATCCTCCTGATCTCTGCCCCCTGAATAGCTAGGATTACCGGTGTGTACACTTATGTCATCAGCGGTCATGGAACTTCACATCTGTAAAATGGACATGATCATGTCTCAGTGAAAGTGTTGTATGAATTAAGTGAATTAATGTGTAAGGAGTATGGAATGTTACGTTATGGAAATGCGAAATTCCTGTAGCCAAGCAAAGCAAAGAAGCATGCCTTCTTACCGGAAATGAAGGAGCTGAGTCTTACGCAGAGTCCTAGACAGAAGACAGTCATATAGCCAAAGAACAAAGTGTGGAAATTCACTTCCATGAAAGGCATTTTAAACAAGATTAGGGCAAAGGAAAAAGAGGAAACAGCAGGGAAGACAGCAAATACAACTCAGGTTATGAAGTTTTTCGTTGGATTTAGGGTGAAGTGATAGTAGGTTTTGTTGGCTATTTGAGCAGAGGTAGAGTATTTGTTAGTCTCAGATATGCCTAGGCATCGCTCTGTGTAGTGCGTGTTCTCAAACCCTGCCCTGCATGTGTGTCGTATTGTGGAATTCACTGGTTTTTGTAGAACTTCGTACCACAGGGTTGCATCTTGGAAAACAATGCTGTATGAATATACACCTTTACTATTTACTGTGTTTCTAAGCAACAGAACTTCAGAAGTCTGGTTACAAGTTTTTATAGCATGATTTTTTTCAAGTTGTAAGTGAGGTTTCTATATCATGTCTTAGTTATCTTTATTTTGTTTCTATAGTACTTAGGTATAATGGCTTTATTTCTCTGAATATTGCTTTCATAGAATATTATTAATACACTAACATTAACACAAGTAAAGTATAAATTCAGTAATAACAGACAACATTTATGGAGTGCTTATTATATGCTAGGCCCTATTGTAATTGCTTTACATACATTAGCTCATGTTTTCCCACAAGGATGAGGAGCACCCTCGCCTTACAAGTGAAGAAACTGAGGCACAGAGAAGTAAGTAACTGGGATAAGGTCACACAAATAGTGTTTGGTAGAACTGAATTCGCACTCACACAGCCAAGCCCCAGGTCTTCATGCTTTTAAACATAATACTGTATTTCTCCTTTCTTTGTAAGTAGTATTTCCATCCGCATTTTATTATATTAAAGGCATCCCTATAATAAATTTGTTACAGCAGATCTTCATATTTTTCCAGCTTGGAAAAAAAATTCATTTCTTACAGACTAAGCTGCGAGACAGTATTCTCATTTTTAGTGCTTCTATGAAAGTTTAGTAAATAGTAAAAATTAATACAGTACTCTCAAACAAGTATTTATTGCTTCAGAAGAAGATAATTGCAAATTTAGGAAACTTAAACTAGTACAAAGTAATTTGTTGCAGATTAACGTTCAGTTATGAGGCAATTATTAGGTAGTCTGAGAGTCTGTACTTCTTAATTTCTACCAAAATGCTTGAAAAACTTTTAAGCTATATGGATTTTACCTTCAGTTGACCTTATAAATTAAACATGGCAGGTGGGTATTTTCTGGTGTTTTGATTTATGGCGAACTTTGAATAACCCCTCATGATTATAATTCACTGGAAATGTTTGACATTAGCCAATTTTTGAACATTAGCCATGATATTGCCATCCTAGGTACTTTTGAATTTCAGTGATTTAGAAGGTAAAATTTATTAACCAATAATTCTCTTCTCTCCTACATCCTATTCTCCATTTTTCTTTCCTCCTGACTGACTCAAATTTTGCCAAAGCAGGTATTTTTGAAAGGCTTTGGGTTTGTCTCCAATGTTGAGAGAGAGAAAGAAAAGTAGAAAGCATACGGCACAGTTGTTGAGTGGTGACTCTTACATATTACTGTTAGCAGTGTGTTTGAAAGTCCAAAGGCAAATGGTGACTCATTAAAAAGAATAGTGCAAATAGTCCTTTCCATAAAAGTGAACGGTCTTTATTTAATTTTTTAACAGAAGAAATGG